TAAACAATCAATGCTTTAACTTTTTTAATGTTTTTTAGATTAATATTAATATTTAGATCAATTTACATGATTAATTTTATAAACTTTAAACCTTTTATGTAGTTTGATTAATTTTACTAAAATTTATATGACTTTGACCAATAATCTGATCTTTAAATGGTAAATTGATTCAACTAGTTTAGTTAAATCATCAAGATTCACTTTAACCTTTTCTTTTCACGTGTCATGGCAAGATCCCACTGACTACCACAAAATAAACCCTCCTTATCTTACCTAAAAAATCTATCGTGCGCCTCCACCTAGGAAAGAAACACGGTTTTCTTGGTCTCCTCTAATCAAAACTTGGGCCAAAAAACGGTTGAGATCTCTCTTCATTTTTTTGCCGGCTGTCATACACTTAAATTAACTTAAACATTTATATTAATAAAAAAATTAATTATAAATCTGAATTTTGATTCATGAATTCATTTTTAACCTTCTACTCTCCCTTATCAACCTTGAAAGTCTTTATAATTTTCAGATAACTGATCTTGATTGATTTTTATCAACCTTGAAAGTCTTTATAATTTTCAAATAACTGATCTTCATTGATTTTTTTTTAAGTTTTTGGTTTTCATATTATAGTTATTAAAATCAGGTAGACTCGGAAAAAAATAAAAATATGGCTTGACAAATAATATAGGTGGTTGTTTGACAATGACCAGATGGCTATCTGAAAAAACGAGCCTTCATCGCGACGAAGAAATTTAATAATGCTTGACAGTCAAATGCCGGATCACATTCATAACTGCATGTATAATTTATAATATTCAGAGACCCTTGCGCTAACGACAGAATATGGCTTCAGATAATTTATAACCACGTGAATGGGAAAGGCGGCAGCAGATGAGTAGCCTTGCAGCAGGTGGTCGATATGTACGGTCGAAAATCAGAATATCCAGCATCAATGGTCAGCCACAAGTCTCAAGAGCCATCCATGCTGATTTCAAAATGAACATACCGCCAGCTAATTTCTATTTCTTTTACATTTTTTTTTCTTTAGATATTTTGTTGATTTTATGCAAGAGTGGTTGAACCACCTGTGTGCCTGAGGAGTGAGATCAGTATTTGGATACTTGTGGAGGAGGTGTTAGTCTTTCCAATTAATGTAGCTGACTTGAATTCAAAGAAAAGACCGTAGCTGTTTACTTTCGGAGGATTTCCTTGCCGTCCAGCAAACCTAACACCAAGGAAAAAGTTCAATGGATTGGACTTCCGACTCGGGCTAAATATCGAGGTAACCTCTAATTGATGAACACAAGGACAAAATTGTTTTCGGGGAAAATGCAGAGCTGATTTCAGCATTCTGAAAGGGATGCATGCGTTTTTGCGCTGAAGGAAGAGCTCCTGTTCGGCGCTATAAGAAAAATAAGGAGAACCTGCACGGCAGTCGATCAGCTCTTCAATCCTCATCTGATCTCCATCACATTCCCCGGATACGGCGCCGAGTGATGGCTTGTCTTGCTCATTTCCTGAATCAGCTCCTGCCTGCACTTGGAGGGTTTATTCTCGCTTTGACTTCCTTTCAGAAAGCAAAATTTTCAGTAATTTATGTGTATCTGTACAACTTTTTGGCTTTTTAAAAAAAATGTATTTTGGAGGCTTCAGTAACTGTTTAAATATATTTCTTTTTGGTGAAAAAGAAAAAATCATGGCAATTTCTAATAATACATTACATTATATTTTAAAAATATTTTTGAAAAAAATTAATTTTTTTAATTTTTAATTTAATTTAAATTATTTTTTTATATTTTTTTTATTATTTTAATACATTAATGTCAAAAATAATTTTTTTTAAAAAAAAAATATTTTAATATATTTCAAAATAAAAAACGTTTTAACTATAATTACACTTCTATCCATATACATATATGCTTGCCTGGATTTAAGCCGGCACTGTAGAAAATTATGCGTGAATGAGTGGGCTTAGACCCGAGCCTGGGTGCTCCAGGACAAAACCCAAATGGTCTTGGCTAGGAACCAAGGTCAGATTGTTTTTTTTTTTTTTTTTGTCATTTTGTGTTTTTTACTTCTTTAATAATTTCTTTATTGAATTTCTAAATTTTTTGTTTGTATTTTACATAAAGTATAATATATAATTTTTTTATGTATTTTTATGATTCTTCTCGTGTTGTTTTATGTCTATACTATCAAATTATTAAATTAATAGGATTTTAAATGTTATTTTGTTTCTATATTATCATGTTATTAGATTAACATTGAAGAAGATTATTTACTGAAAGCAAGGTATACATTTTATTGGTGTATTTTTTATAATTCATACATGTATAATGTAGTGAAAATTAAGAAAAAAATAAATCTCTAAATTTATATTTGAAGTGTATCAGGCACGAGACTACACATAACTATAAACTATTAAACTCTATTTTAAGTATATCAGGAGAAATTGTATTGCATTCTTACATTATACATGTAAGTTTATAAATGAATCAGGGTGACATAATTCGAACCGACCCCACAGCAAGTGGACAGAATAGCAATTAATGATAATAACACAAGTAGTCTACTATTAAACTATTAAATTATCCTAGCTTAATATGTTGATCTTATAAATTTGAAACCTTTTAATATAAATTGATTTAAAAATTAATGGTCAAATCTTTAAGAATCGGCAGATTGACTCACACTATCCCGACTGTGGTAAAACCAGAGAAGTTTTTTTCTTTAAGAAAAAAAGACGAAGAAACCGAATCAACGTTCGGATAAAGACAAGAAGCTTGACTTGACCCATCAGCCCGACAATCAGAACCTTTTTCAGACAACCACGTGCAAAACGCAAAATCGGGTTGAAGAATCTTTCTCCTCCGAGTTCTTGGACCTGGGATCATTAGTTATCTGATAATTTCATGATTTTATAATATAAATGGTCCACAGTTTTCTGGTCTTTTAGCTCGTACTCTGTTTCAGGATGGGGTCGGGCTGGCGCGATGCCCCCCTATTGCATTGATGGACCATGTAAGAGCAAAAACAGCGAATTGATGTTTTAGCTGCTGTGGTTTTTTGGTTTAATGGTGCGGCTCATCACTGATAAAAACAAACGCATCAGCAAAAATAAAAACATTAAGTTACTATTTGTTTTTCAGTGTAAGAGTCTATTTGAAAAAATAAATAAATTATTATTTTAATATTTTTTAATTGTTTTAGTATAGAATTGAATTTTTAAAAAATAAATAAAATATTATTTTAATATATTTTTAAATAAAAAACACTTTAAAAAATAATTATGATCAAAATATCAAAAGAATCTAATAGATAAAAGCTATGCTAAGAATAAAATTCTAGATTAATTAAAAGAAATCATTATTATGAAAATCATGAATACTTTTTTCTTAAATCATTATTTTGTATTTTTTTCTTAAATTCTAGGTTATTTTTCCCGATCTTTCTTGAAAAAAAATGAAAAAATAGATGCATGTGCAGATATCTTACTCCGGCTATTTATCTTCTAAGTTATATATATATATCGGTCACTGCTTACAAATGATTTTTATTGGCATAAATGAATCATGCAAATATAACTTATTTATTTAAAATTCATGATAATTTTTTTTAACATAACTTATAACAATTTTTTTTTAAATATTATGAAATATAAAAACAATTCAAAAAATGAACTATAAGTTTTTTTAAAAAATAAACTAAACAATTTAAAAAACTAGTGGGGTATTGGTTAAAAACTAAATTCAAAAAATAAATAGAAAGTTAGGCATGCACGACTGACAAAAAATTAAAAAGTTTTGCCACACCTTGTTTACATTTTTTGTATTAAAAAAAGAGGATGACAATTATTTTTTCATTTAAATGGATGGCACTATGTCTATTTTGGCTGTAGCATTTTTCAATAATATCTAGCAACTGGAAAACTAAGATTTTAGTTCTGAAATTTTAAATACTTATTTTTCAACTTCTTTTGCCTAAAAACACATTAGAAGAGCTCAATAAATATATTTCAAACCTGAAACATCATTTAACTAGTTCAATATATATATAAAAGTAATCCGAATTAAAATAAAATTTACAAGTTCTAATCTATTTTTTTAACGTATTTAAAGTGCAAAATTATATTTATTGAACTGCTTTCTTTTGAATGAATCAATTAATAATATATTCAAAATTTTTTTATAACCATAACATGGTCAACTGAACATTTTTTCTCTCTTATTTTTTTTATAACTCTCTTTTCCATTCCTTAACATTTTAAAATTAAAATGTGATAAGAAAAATAAAATTTAGGATCAAAATATATAAACTTTAAAATATTATTTTTCAAAGTTATGGAAAAAATTATCCTATCAGCTATTTGAAAATTTAAAATCTAGAGTTTCAGACCCCAAAATTTAAATGGGATTTAAATACAGCATATTCTCTTAAAAAAGTCTATATTTCTTATAAAATCACAATCATGTAATAAATATACTTTAAAATAATGTTATTTCAAGAACACTCCTTACCTTTTATTTTCAGACGTTTATTATTCAAAGGGAGAAGTGAAATTTGATCCAAGTTCTCTCTCTCAAAAAATGACGTGATTACATAGATGACTTATTGATCGTAGGCAGACAGATTAGATTCTAGTTCACATGATAAAAGACGATATCCCATGTAAAATGGGGTTGGACATGGTACCCGCATCTTGCAATCTGACCTATTGCTATTTTCTAATAAAATGATAATAATGCCTATCATATTTTGGGTGGACAGAAGCAAGTTAGAACAAAAATGGCATCTTATTACTCACAAGCACAAGTGTTTCTTTCCCCTCCAGAAACAACATTAATGGTTAGAGCGAGCATAGCGGTGGGCCACAAAGGCTTGTCTAATACGAGGCTTGTACTGTTTATAGTTTTTGATCGGCCGATCTCTTACTGTTTAAAGCCCGTTGCCGCCATCTAGTTTTGTGGATTTTCTAAGATTGCTTGTAGATTTCCAGGTCGGGTCCCACCGTGAAACACGTGCCTGTGTGATTTTTGTCCTTAGCGACATCTATGAAGTCTTTTTTCTAGGCCATAAAAAATCTTGTATTCTGTACTTGTTTGATCTGAAAAATAGTCAGTAGAGTTTTTCGAAAATGGACAGCTTTCTTGGCCTTCTCAGAATCCGGGTGAAACGCGGCGTAAATCTTGCCGTTCGCGACCTTGGCTCCAGTGATCCTTATGTTGTCATCACCATGGGAAACCAGGCTTGCTACTGTTTCTTGATCTCCTCAATTTTTGTTACATAAACTGTTAATTTTCCCTTGGTCTTTTTTAGTTGAATTTTCGGTATCGTACATGGTTCTATCTTTTTGAGTTGTCTGTCTGAGACCTCTATAGAAATGAATATGGGTAGCGGAGATGAAGTTATGTACGAGAGCGAATTAAGGACCGCAAAGAAAAGGGTTTTCACAATTGTATTTTGTGCAAGGATATATATTATTGGTATACATACGGGAAATAAACAAGAAGAGGGTGAGATTTGTTCATCTAATTGAAGCCGTAGTTGATATCGATGGGAGTGGAGTTCATGAATTCATCTTGATTTATCATAAATGCCTTCTCTGAGGAGAGGAAATAGTCTTCTCACTTCTGGTTAGCTTCACAAATAATCATAAATATGGAGGACGGGGCTTTTTTTTTTTTTGGTAGAATTGTTTGGCAACTTGGTTGTCGAATGATTTTTGCTTGAAATTTATTGTCAATGTTGGACTGCTGATGTGTTGTCATTATTTTTTGAGAGAATCGCGTAAGGGCCTTAGGGGTCTCTGTATTTGCTTGTTATGAAGCTTTGTCTTCAATCATTTATCGTGATCTAGAACTAGACAGCATACATCCTTTTAAAGTACGTCATAATTATATAAAATTAGATCTGCACACATATTCTCTTCGCAAGATAAAGTTCAACCACACGTTAGATTTCTTTTTTTTCTTCTTTTCTGTTCCTTTTCCAGTATGTTATCTCTGCGCTGAAATCACCCGAACGTTGGTGCAGAAATTGAAGACTCGAGTGGTGAAAAAAAACTGCAATCCAGTGTGGAATGAGGAGCTTACTCTTTCAATTACAGATCTCAATGTTCCAATCAATTTAGTAAGTAATAGCCCACCATATGCGAGTCTGTTTACGACTTGCTATACTGTCAATCACTCAGCAATTGATTTGTTCGGTGCTATAATTACATACAGATAGTTGATGGTTGTTTCGGCAAGACACCGTTTTCCTCATATTAATATTTTGATGAAACATGGTAATCCATATCATGCAGTCTATCCAGATTCCAATTGTTTTGGCTTCCTTTGCAGACAGTTTTTGACAAAGACACGTTCACTGTGGATGACAAAATGGGTGAAGCAGGCATAGACATCCAACCATATATCGCAAGTCTAAAGATGGGCCTACAAAATCTCCCGAAAGGTTGTGTGGTCTCAAGAGTTCAGCCAAGCCAGAACAACTGCCTTGCTGATGAGAGCTGCATTGTTTGGGATGATGGAAAACTCCTCCAAGACATGGTTCTCAGACTAAGAAATGTAGAGTCTGGTGAAGTTATGATTCAAATCGAGTGGATTGATGTTCCAGGTTGTCGAGGATTGAAAACTGAAGGTACGGGCTAATGTGCTTGCAAGATGTATTGTTACATGTAATGTAAATTTCAAGCTGCCTGAACTGAGTTTAAATTATTGTACTATCCGTAACAAGCAACAAGAGTTAAACTATGCTGATATTGAGGCGGGCTTGGCTATTATCATGCGGAATGATGTAAAAGGATTTATATAACCGACCCCAGCTAGTTTGGGATTAAGGTTTTGTTACTGTGGCAATAGTTGCTGTTGTTGAATAAGCAACAAGTGATCTGTGGATTCTGCAGTGACATGATATATGTGCCTCTAGTTTCAAAACTGCTTGCCATATCAATTTTTCTTACCACAGAAAAACAACTTTCTTGATTCGCTCAAGCATGTCTGCATAAACTAACTAGATTACCCATCAATTTTTATCATTTTTGAAACACAGACAGGGAAGCACCATGGAACCGGGTGAAGAACTGCAACTGATCAAAAGATTTTCGTAATTTTACTGCTCACTGTATCCTCTCTGGGTAAGATGCGACTGCTCATAAATTTACCGCGTCCTAACTTGGGAAACGATGACTGCATTTGACCTTCTTGAATTCTTTGGTTTTGTAACAATTAATCCGAGTGAGAACTTCTCGGAGCGCCTTCTATTTCTGGCATATAGATATTAATCAAGAATTTTTCTCTGTTATTTTATCGTCTTCTTTCTTTCTTTCTTTCTTCTTTTGGTTTTATTTTAAACAATTCTTTCGATCCTAGTTCCTGACATTTTACGAGGCACGCATACCGATAACTTGAGTGAAAATCAATCTTACGACGTCCCACCTAGGGTGTTCAGAGGCATAGTTTCGAGACTGCTAGATAACAGCCGGCAAGAATGCTAGCTTTCTGATGTATGGGAATAGTAACAGATACTGGGGGTAATGAACTAATCATTACCTTGAGAATTACTCCCATGGAGTTCTCGTCGTAGTCGTCTACCCTTTGACCTCATCAGTAACACAACCAAGTAGTATAACTTTCAAACTTTGTTTCCATGGAGAAAACTAATTTTCCGAATTTCTTGAGTTTGACTACCCTTGAGACCAATAGAAAAATATTCAGGTCAAGGACAAAAGAATTTTTAAATTAGACCCGTGTTTCACCACCAGCTAACCCTTTTCATTTCTTCCCAACACTTATTTTTTCATACACAGCAAATATCATATTTCAAACTAGTTATAATGAGGCAATTATTTGACATTATGGTTCTGGTTTCTATTTTTAAAATTTTTTTACATATTTTTTAATGATTTTGATACAAGATTTCTAAAAACTTGATTTTTTTTGTCAAACAAAAAACATTTTTAAAAATTAATTTCACACTTAAACTTGTTTTCTGAGAAAATATTTTTGTCTTTTAATTTAAATTTAACATGCCATTATTGAATGATAAAACACAGGGGTAAGCAAACAAATGGGAAAACTAAATTATACCGAACTAAACCAGTCAATTGTCAAGAAGCATGAGTTGGTTTGATTAGAAATATCCGTAATATGTATGTTGGGAAAACCACGAAAGGGCCCAAGTATCTACACCCAATATTCTTATAAAGCGTTAACAAAAATGAATGGTAAACTAAAGAATAAAAAACCAGGAACCTTAATTAATTGTGTGTTTCGCAAGTTGTTTAAATTATATTTTTTAAAATTTTCATTTTTTTAATATGTTAATGTAAAAATAATTTTTTAAAAATAAGAAAATAGCTTAAAAAATAACTATTACTATATTTTTAAAAACATTCTAAATAAAATTACCGGCGAAAACTAAGGATTTCCTGTATAAAAAGACCCTAAATCTCATAAATATCCAAAGACAGCCAAACTTAATTGATAATAAATAATATAAAACCAAGAAGAGCATAAATTCTGATGGATAACGGCTTAAACAAGCATATATCTTTCAATTTTTTTTTCAAAACTCACACAAAGAAATTTATGTAATATATAACTGATGTACATTTATAAAAGAACTCATCTCATTTCATATAATTAATGTATATTTTTTAATTGTTTTTGTATTTTAAAAGCATTTAAAAAAATTATTTTTTATTTTAAATTGATATTTTTTAGTATTTTCAAATCATTTTGATGTATTAATATCAAAAATAATTTTTTAAAATAAAAAATATTATTTTAATATATTTTTAAATAAAAAAATACTTTAA